AAGCGGAATAGAATTTAACATTAGTAAATAATATAAAATAAATATTGAAAATTGTAACGAGATAATTATGGGTAATAGATATATTATATCTAAATAAATAGATGTTATATGTTTTTATCAAAGCAAGAATTGGCATTTAGAGGGCATATGGAATATATTGGATCTAATAACAGAGGTAATTATAATGAACTTGTTTATTAAGTACGTCAGATAAATAATCTATTAAAAATACATTTAAAGAAAGAATTAACTGATTGCCCCTGGATGTCGGCTTCTTATAGAAACACAGCTTCCCTATCATCAAATGTCACGGCACGCCCCTGGTAGTCCGTAAACTTCACACGTGTCGGGCTGTGATTGGCAAGGACTTGTACAAATGGATTCATAAAGAACGGAACGTATCTACCGTGTTATAGAGGGGTCGACTGTAAGTAACAAATTGAAATTTAATATATATTTAGAGCACAAATCGAGAAAACACAGAATAAATTTTTAATTAATGAAGATAAACGTGGCGTTAAATGATATTAGAGCGCATGATTCTGAATTTAGGTTTTTTCTCAGGATGCAAAATTATAAATGATTAAAATCTGATCGCAATCAAAACAATGAAACTTCAAATCTGAATCATTCTAATAAACAACTTTTATTCCTATATTTCATGTTGTAATGAGTTATATATATGTACGAGCTTAATTGTGTTATAAACAAAATCGTAATAATTATTTAATTTTTTAAAATGAAATTGAAACGTCATTATCATATAATGTAAGACACAAAATAAATTTCAATATTTTAATGATAATTTTTGGAGGTGTAATGAGATGAAAGCGCCATTTTTAAAATATAGTTTAAAAAATACACTAAATTTTGAAAATTACAATGATATTTTAATTTTACGAATTGTTTTTTAGTTATATAAAATAATTTAATTTTAATTTAGATTCGTAATTAAAATTATACGCCGTATAATAATTTCATTAGAAAAAAAAAAAAAAAGAGTATTTTGGTTTTGGAGGTGTAATGAGATGTTATAAATACGTAGTAGGTGACTAATTTAATTAAATTTTTTTATTTAATTGCTTTTTTTAATTAAATAATACAACATTTGCCTGTTGTAGAATTAGTATGTTAAAATAAATAAAATTATTTGTAAACTGCGTCATTTCGATATTTTGTACTTTTGTCGTTTGGCTACTCCCACGTGACTATTCAAAGATGGCGGACGAGTCTTGGGGTAAGTAAAACGTTGAAAATGAATTTTAATGACGTTACGGTTGTTATAAACGAATTGAATGAATAAAGTTGAAGTATTTTTAGTTACTAATAACGTTATTTTGTCTGTAGATAACGAAGACTACGAGCCACCTGCCTTTACAAAGCCAGCGATCAGTGACAGATGGGAAGGTGAAGACGAAGATGATGATATCAAAGTAAGTGAAGCAAATGCTACAAAATAATTCGTAGATCAATATCACGGCTAAAAAATGACCTCACAGTTAACATAATTTACAATATTCCATCGTATTCTTAAGTAAAATACAATTAATTCGGTAAGTTCTACTGCCCCAGTTTTCATAAAGGTTATACTGATTGGTTGAAGTTACCTTTAGATATATAAAGAAGTAACATTGATTTAACTTCATATTTCACACAGTTTAATCATAAATCATTGGCAATTTTTCTTAATTAATTAATTTATTAAAATACTTCATTTTAATTGTATTTTTAATAATAAAGGGTTGTTCAGGTTTGTACTGTACACAAAGTACTGTGATAATACGTGTGACGTTGGTATATAAAAATCAATTGTGACGTAAGCTAATAAGAGAAGAACAGATTTAATAATGTAATGGATGGGTATGATCTCTGTTGTTTTTATGATAGAAGTTAATTCATTATTGAGTTGTGTGAGCGAGAGTGACAGTCCCATAAGGGATGGGATGTTGTTTTTTTGTACTGGCAAATTGATTGTCCATTCGAGATGTATGTATATTTTGATTTTATACCATACTATAAAAAAATAGGAATGGAAGTGAGTACACTGTACCTAACAAGTATAGTTTATTATTTATATTCACTCAAAATCTAACAATGAGAAATTTTTTATACCCATTGTGATTGGCTTGATCCCTCAATATATGTACAGATGTCATTGTCTGTGATGCCTCTTTTGTGTTGGGGGAATATGTATGAATTTATATATTTCATATTCAATTTCTAATTATATAAAATGGTGTAATATATGTTTATGACCATACTATACTCTAAAAAACAGCATACCTCTGAACCTTAAAAATACAATTCCAGAATAGTTTATTATAGTTTATTAGTATTACTATGTAGTTTATTATAGTTAATTATTTCATTTTCTGCATTCCATTTGAGAACGTTTTAACCTAAAGACGATCTCCTTTGTAGATAGAAAATGTGTTTTGTCTGCATTTGTCTATTCTGGAATTGTACTTTTTAAGTTCAGAGGTGTGCTGTTTTTTATGATATAATATATTCCAGTCTTAGTGTTTGAACCATACTATACTTTTTTATGCATTTAGACACAATTTATATTTAAGTAACAAGCTTCATTTTTCTGAAGTTTTTTGAATGAATTATTATTGTTAATCATAAAAAATTTCAGAAAAGTGAAGATTTATTGATAATGTGATCAAATATTTTCAACTAGATTAAATAATTTTGAATTATTAGGATAAAGACAGAAACAACTCAAGCATAATTTTTATAAGTGATTTGAAAATTTATTTTTGTTAGGAAATACAATGAAATCTGTTTATTATGATTGTTTTGAGACCTATATAAGTTGATAATAAGTGGGGCAAGTGAATAAGACTATAATTAGTGGAAATTCTAGTTTTATTATCCTTAAAGGATGTATTAAGGCAATTAAAAATTTTGTAACTTGAAGATTTATTAATTATTACTATTTAATATGCAATTCATTCAATATTGTTTGTCTGCTACTGCCTCTAACAACAGCTAGCATATAATTGAAGTAAGAAATGTTAGCAATTTAAAATTCAGTAGTTTCAGTAGACTAGTAATAATGATTGTATGCTATCAGCCACATAGGCTGATAATGTGAAAATGCTTATTTAAGCAGAGATGGTGATGATAACTGAACTCCAAAGTGGTCATATTTTAACTTATATGCTTCAGGTCTTGTTAATTCTGATGTAATTAAACAATTGATAACATAAGCTGTTGTCTGCTGCATAACATTTTGTAAATTATGTTAATACATGCAATTTTACATAGTTTGTCTGCAGTTTTATCTTGAGATTTCTTGAACTTTGAATGCATGTATATGCATTGAAAGTTCCAAGAGAGTTAATTATGACTTTATAGAAATAACTAAACATTATATGTATATATTTTACAGTGAACATAATGCTTTATCTGTATAATTTAATTATTATATGAATTTTTACAGATATTACGATTTGGCTCAATGTGTGTGTGATTACATGTAATCAGAATATTTAATTTTATTTTGTTTTTACATTTGTTGTTTCAGCTATTAATCAGTTTCTTAATTAATAAAATTAAGCATAAATTATGGTTTGTGAAAACTATTCAACAAGTGAAACTTTGGTTTGTTCTAAATTAATTCCAATTCAAGCTTCTTATCTCAGAGAAAGTTTATTTTTAGAAAAGTTGATTGCTTTTGGATTATATTTCCACTATCAGAAGTTAACAAAAGAAATAAAGATCAAAAGACGATGCTAGATTATTATTAACTACCAGCATCCAGTATTAAGATAAACACAATGATGAGAGAGATCATTCTGGCCATTTCCTGTGAGACCAATCTCAATAATTTTGTGAAATGCAGAATCACATTAATAATAAATAATAATAGAATTATTATTATTTATTAATCCTTGGTTTTTTATTACTAGACAAATTACTTAGTCAAAATTATATTAAAAAGATAAATTTTGTAAATAGGTAGTTTCTGTTAAAGTAACAAATCATTGAACCGTAACAAAACTTAATTATTGCCCACATTATATCAGATCAGTTATTTGGCTATTAAATTAATTCAATTATAAGAACATGTCCTTACAGATATAATCTCTGCTATCCAATTTTATTATTTTTAAATTATGAAATAATTAATATTTCCAAGAATTCTGAAAAGNATAATTTATATTATTATTAAAAGATATAATTTTAATCATTGGTTCGACTAGATTTATTAGTATTGAAAATAAGTTATGTTAAAAAGCATAACATATACTGTAAAAAAATTACACTAAACAAACACAACAGACAAACTGTAACATAATAGGTTTTACATTTAGAAAAAATGTATTGAAAGCATCCTGATGGTTGTTTCACACATTAACAGGGAGAGGAATCCAACAACAAACATCCATTTCACAAACCATCACTGAATGATTGTTTGCAAAGTTTAAGAGGACTGGATGCATGGCCAACAAAGTATGTTCCAGCCACCTATGACCCAACATCTTTCAAGGTGTATGGAATGATTGGATCACCCACCTAAAAATTTGTATGCAACAGAATGTGAATCACATCAACCATCTGAACAGTTATTTTTACCTATGATATGCAACTTAAGGGACATCCTATATTACTTGTATGCATATTATATTTTACAATCTATGATCATTTAAATATTAAACTAAAGATTGTTTAAAATAGTTTCTCTTTTAAATTAAATCTATAAACTACCATAACATTTAAAATAAGATAATATATATAAAATATATGTTTAAAGAAAGGAAAAATAAAATTTCAACAAACCAGCTCCTTCTGTTCCATATTTATATTCTGGGGATGGCTTGCAGGGACGTAAATTTACAAAACTTTCTGGAGTGAATTCGACTAAGCATTGATGATAAGATAACCTAGAAAATATGACTAACAAACATTAAACTAAATAATTATGAATTAATAAATTTCATACTTATTGAAATTTTTAACTTGCCTCAAACATTTCTGTAGTGTTTCTGTAATAAATTTTACTTTTGGACTTAAAGGATCTAATGTTAAGCAATCACTCCAATCATCCCAACTCCATCGAAACTGGAAATTACTTAAATGATATGCAAACCAACTAGCAAACCTGAAAAATTAATTCAAATAATTAATATGTGTTAGTGAGAATATATAGAAATTACTAAGATAACTACTTCCAACACTTTAACACCTCGTTTAATAATAACGATCCACGAAACAACCTTTTTTACGAGGGTTATTTTCACTATTCAGTTCCACGAGTACTTTCGACCTCCACCGAGGTCTGCTTCAGGTGGTGAGTGTCGACCCGACCGTTGTAACGATGTTGCCAACGATGTTTCCGGAACACCAAAGTTATCAGACACGTGTTCCGCGCGGATCACAGCCGTCACCTGGAGGCCNCTTAACATTTGATTATTTTCTCACAATATAAAATACAGAAGTATTAACATGCATCAAGATTTTATTTAATGTTTTCATAAAAATTTGCTGGTTAATCATGATTAGAGAAAACAGAGTGACTATTGTTGATGAAATTTTGAAAATTAGAATTTCACATTGTAATTTTTCAAAAAGTTTTAAAACAAAAACTGAATTTTGATTTGAAGATTTCACTGTTTAATTTATAGAAGTGTGATTCATTTATCAAAACAATATATCAATACTGTATTATATTGAAAGTACAAAATTTTTGATTGTTCTACAAATATTTTATATATATTGTATGTACTGTATAATGGATTTTCTACATCTGATGCCAACTGTCCTTGCCAGTTTCAACTTTTCTGTTTTAGGCTTCTTGCTAACTTTATCTCATTACCTCATATCTTTAATAGCATTTAAGTTTGCCACATTTTGTTCTTCTCCATTTTGGGGTTTTCATTATCTCTCTCTCTCATCAATTGTTTACTAGTGCACCCAAATCACACAAGTAATTTTTTTTAAATTTCATTTAACTCTATATCCTGTACACTCTGTATGCTTCTGTAGTCAATAAGTTCTATTTTTTTTGTTAAGCCCCATATTGATAGTATAAGAATTTGAAGTATCCAATTTTGCATTTAAACATCACAATTGGATTTTGATCATAGTTGCAAGACTTCATATGGCAAATTTAAACAATAGACAATATGAAAAAATATGCTCAAAATACAATTGATAAATAATAGAATGTTAGGTTCTGTTGTGAATAACAGATTCATTATCAATCATTGAAAATGAATTATGTATTTGCTTTCAGTCATTAAATAACTTCTAAATTGAATCAAATTATTCTTAATTCTGTTGATTCTAATGTAAAAAATTATTGTACAGAATGAGATTCAAACATACAACTTATGCTCAACATGCTAATGGTCATATTTTCCAATTGAAACAAATAGAGTCCTTCTGGACATTTTAAGTTTAGATTAGTAAACTATTACAATTATGTATTCATTGTCAAATCAATTTGCATCCTTTGTCGTTCATAGCTTTAATCCTTATTATTAAGTTATTATTTGTGTCTTGGAAGTAAAATTTATTAAACATTTCATTATCAGTAATAATTTCCTTCTATTTTTTTTTTTTTTGTCAAATTAGGAATTGATGCAAAAATAATTTTGTAGAGTTGAATGTGCATGTTGCAAATCAGAAATGCTCATTGTGGCTAGTAATTTGCTAACACAAAGGAAATTTTTATTGCAGAATTATTCACATTTATTTGATGTAATTACTGTAAATTAAACAGAGAGACAGTTTACTACTTTCATCCTGTTGTGAGGCCATCTGGTCATGCAGTGTTGACTTACTTTCATAAGGATTTAAGTTTCATTGGCCCAGATCAGATACTATCCATGTTAATTGTATTGAAGGTTGGGTGTAAATGCAGTTAATGAGGTGCCAGTACTCAAATTTTAATAATTTATAAGATTTATTGATTGATTATAAATGATCTTTTAATTACACATATTTTGATTTGTTTTAATTTATTCTCTCAAATTAAATTGTATATTTATAGTTAAAGATATGCAAGAGGAATACAAATAAACAATATCATTTATTTCAGTCTGTTTTTATTGCACAAGTCAAATTCGAGATATTTACACTTTAAAGAAAAAACATTGTGGTTCAACTAGATAAACCAGACAAACATAAATTATGTCTGGTTTTTTTATTTATACATATCTAATTTAAAATTGTATAACATTAATATTTAAACAGAACCAGTTTAGTAATTTTTGTTCATTATAAAATTAATTCAATTAATTAATTACACGGTTTGATTTTAAGGAAAATTGGTACGATGAGGACACATCGGAAAAAGCGGAAGAAGAAAAACCCACAGATAAAGGTACTTACTTAAATTGCTTTTGCAAATTTTTCTGTATGTTTCGACGGTTGCGGTTTATTTTAGAGTTAGATTCGGATTCGGCCGCAGTTTTACTAAATAAATATATATTTTTTGAATGCTCAGCTGTTCTACCACAACAAAAAAAGAAGAGGATTCAACAGATTATAGCAGAAAAAGAAGAGAAGAAGAAGGAGCAGCTTAAAGTAAAAGTAAGTGTTGGATTAATAACAAAAAATACAGAAGTCGTGCTTGTTTCTAAATTGCAATTTTTTGTCGAAGGAATTAGAAAAAAAAGAATTAACCCCCGAAGAAATGTTAGCAGAGAAATTAAGGCAGCAGAAATTACAGGAGGATGCAGATTTAGAACTGGCCAAAGAGGCTTTCGGTGAGTTTGCCATTCGGTTTAAATTTGATCACACCCAAACCTTCAGTTACAGTAATTATATAATTGTTCAGGAACGGGCGACTTGCTACCCGAAAAATCTATAGAATCCATGGTTCCGTCGACAAAACCCGAATTCGACGAATTTAGGAAAGCGCTAGTTAAAAAAATTTCTCAGTTTGAGGTGAGTATTCCTCATTCTCATTACCTATTATTTTTTTATTACTTATTCTTTTATTTTCTTCGCCACAGAAATCTCCTCAATACGTACTATTTCTCGACGACTTATTTAGAGAGTTATGTGTAAACGGTAAGTCCGCCATTCTGCAATCACAATCGACTTAACGTACATCGCTAATCCGAGGTTTTTCTCTTTCAGTGGATTCCGAAGAAATAAAAAAGGTCACGAGTTCTTTAAATGCATTAGCAAATGAAAAAGTCAAAGCTCAAAAGGTAAATTCACAAAGTTGTTGTGGGGAGATTTATGCTCCGCATCTTGCGTTTGCCGAAGCTCTCTTCTAATTACGTTTAATGGAGTCCCACACACATCTAAAACCCACATTTTTCGTTTTTTTTTACAGACGACGAAGCATAAAAAGAAAACAAAAGGCAAAGCGTCACTTAACTTGGGCAAAAACGCAGACTACGAACTAGGAAATTTCGAAGACGAATACGAAGACTTCATTTGAATATAGCATTCTTCTAATTCTAAGGGGGGATTTATGTAAATGCCTAAATAAGTTTTGTTTATTAAATTTGAAAAAAAACAATAAAATCGTTTTTTCCACTTCTTATTACCACCAAAATGTTTTCTTACTCACGCGACAAAGAATTTAAAAAGAAAAAAAATCATCCGAGTACGTTCAACCTTAAGAATTTGGCAACATTGCCGAAGGAGGAAGAGGGAGAGCGCGCGCACGTATTTTAAGAATTCCTAAAGAGACGAACGCGATCCCGTTTCCGGCCATCGACACTACGTCACGTCCGGTCACGTGTCTCGCTCCGTCTATAGATCTCGACGTGTTGCCGTCGTGCGTTTTTTTTATATTGCCCCGAATCTCGAAAATGATGGTAAGTTATTTTTTACGCCATCCGTCGGAAAGGGGAGAAGAGAGTTATTCTCGTGGCGTGGGTTGAAAAATTTATTTATAGAATAAGCAAGCGGAGGCGTGGAAGGATGACGAAACGCGCTTTATAGTTTTGGAATACCTGGTGTCGAGTATGAGATGCTCTTTGGTTAAACTGAAGAGAAGTAGCTATAAACTCGGAATCAACGAAAAATGGGAAGTAGGTAACGTTTTAATGGCGAAAAATTTATTATTATAATTTTTTTAAGAATTAGTTCGAGAAAATAACTTCGTACTTGGCAACACTCCACGTCGCCGAGTTAGCGAAAGATAAACACACTTAAAAACCTATCTTTAAAAAATTCTTTTAAAATTTATTTCCGCTATAAAAATAATCCGTGCGGCGGGGGGAAGCGACAGAAACTTGTCTATAACGGAACCGCGTGCCGTCACGTGACCCGATTACCAGGCGTCGCGGACACGTTCTTCGATAATACGAAGAATCGATGACGGAAGTTGCGTTTTCGAAAGTTTTTCGACGTGCCGACTCGGATTTTGCGCTTGACTCATCCGGATACGATACCGGTTGACTCAACTGTTTTAAAGACGAGAAAATGTGTTTCTTGTAGTTTCTATGACGTGAGCTCATGACGATTATTTAAACATCTGCTCGTGTTTTTCTGACCAAACCATGTTCTAATTTCCCAATTTGTATGATGGTTAATACGTGTTTTAGTGTTAAACCGGTAAGAAGAGAACTTTTTTTTGGTGTGGCTCTTTAAAGAAATATCCCGTCGTTTCGGGGATATTTTTATTTTTTACATTCGTTTACGTTTCTAGGAAATTCCCCACGCGTCTTCCTTCGCCAATCCTAGAAAAGTAGGATATTTGAAAAGGTTAACAGGAAAAGGATGGATATATTCCGGTTGCTGGAAGGAACGATATTGTGTTTTGGATTCTACCAAGTTGTATTTTTACGAAAGTAGGGTAAGTAAATTTGTTCTAAATTATAGTTTATCCTTAGGATCGCTATAGATGAGTTAACTATAATGAAATTATATTCTTGTAATTGAGATTGCCACGGCAAAAATTTGTATGTATCAGCTTTAAATGAGTAAGGGTGGATGACTCATCTGTTACAGTTTTGTTTATTGTCCAGTTTACCAAATTATAGATTTTTGTATTTATCTTTAAGGATAGTCAAGGGAGAGAGAAAACTGCAGGGGTCATCAGTTTGGATTATTATGATCTGTGCGAAGAAGGAAATGCAAAGGATAATAGGCGTGCCTCTAATGTCTTTGCGGTGGGAACTTCTGTCCGTGGTTTCTTTGACGTTAGTGTTTTGTATTATATTTAGATAAATTTTGGTAGCATGAAGCAATTTACGCATTTGATATATTTCAGAATAGACATCTGTTCAGTGCAGACACACAAGAGGAGAGGGAGGAGTGGATCGCGGAGATCAGGGATGCCATTGAAGATGCCAGGGGAGGAAGGAGTAGGGCTGGCAGAACTAGAGCGAGTCAAGGGAAGGGTTTGGAGCATGGCGATGGTCTGGTGAGTGACTAATAACGTAATTATAGTGTGAATGTCAAAAATAAACTGTTAGGAGAGGATAAGGTTATGAAGATTTATCAAGATGTGAATTTAATTCTATGATGATTCATTACATCAAATCCTATTAAATGGGCTAGTAAATGAATCTAATAAAATCAATCATCAATGATTAGCTGAAGGATGAGATTAGAAATTTTCCTTTCTAAGTCTAGATGAAATTTATTTTCATTTACTTTCATATCAGAATTTGATAAAATGTTTGCATTAAATAAATGTGAAAATATCATTTCAGTCACACAATAGTCAAGAGAACTTAGAAATTGATGTACCTTCATCTGATCTATTATTTAATATCACAAAAGAGAGGACAAAGGGACCTACAGGTCGACGCCTACCACAGCGTAAATCAATGATGACCACGGTAAATATAACAACTTTTTTCTAAATAGTAGTAGAGCCCAAATATGTTAATTAAAAAATTTATTTACAGACTAAGAAAACTGAAATTGTACCTCAACGATCCAATAGTCTCTCTGCTCTGAATGAAATAGCAGAAGATCAAGAAATGTATGTATTACTAAATATTTAAAACAATTTCTTTCCAATTCTAGACATTAAATGAAACTGCATGTTTCAGTCACTCGGAGGACGATGGGGGAAATGTAACGGAAAATGAAGAAAGCGTTCTTCTTGCTGCTTCTGAAATCAAATTATGTAAATCTGCCAGCTCAGAACATAATGCTTTCTTGCAAGAATTAGAGATGAGAGTTGGTGCAGGTAAACGTCATTCATCCAGAACTGCTGTCCCTCCCAAAACAATCGAATCTGAAAGTGAACTGGAAACAGTCAAAAATGACATGGAAGTGATGAAATCCAGAATGACTGTTCTGGTAACGCACGTTGAACATGTAGAAAGAAATGTCACCCACATTCAAAAAGATCTGAATAAAATACAGCAGCAAGTTGTCTGTGGCGAAGCCAAGGGTGAAAAATTAAGCAGTCAGACGGATGCAATGGAAAAACGTCTAAATTCCGCACTAGAGGTAAAGTACAGAGTTTAAAATAATTATTAATATCGTGAACTATAAAGTTTTTTCATACTTAATATAAATTTATAAATAAAAATGTATAGCTTAAGCAAAAGAAAACAAACAACTTTCTCTTCAGAAGATTTTTTCATGCTTATTTTTGCACCAATGCCAAAAATTGTTTATAAGAAACTAGACTAAATGTATTAAATGTTTGCAAAGGCAAATTCTTCAATGAATTTGCATCATCATCATTATTATTCCAAACAAACACATTTTTCAAATATAGACCATCATCTTACAAAAAAGATAACTATTAAAATCAAGTTTAATTTTTAATTTAATTTTTAAAACGTCATAATTGAAAAAATAAGCAAAGTCCTAAAACAAAGAAGAAAAGTACATTAAATGTTTTATCAAAATGAATATTTTTTCTTTAACAGGAGATGCATGCAATGTGTGAAAATGCAAAACAGGCACTGCAAGAGGCTCGGGATACAAAAAACGAGTACTACAATTTGAAAGAAGAATTCAGAGAACTGTTACTAAAGATCAGAAATGATGAAAATAAAGCTATAATGGAACTATTAGAAACTATATAAAACTTTATAATCTATTTTTCTCTTGTATATAAAAATTGTTTTATGAGAATAAAGTATATAATACAATAGTTTATAAAATTTTAACATGTGTAAAATTTTTTATTTGGGACATAATTTACAGACTTCAACATTAACAAATGCATTTCTAGTTCATGGATTTTTAACAGAAAATTAAAAAGCCACAAGGCATATCTAATTCAATTTTCTTTTTCCTTTTTCTTTTTTTATAAAATAATGACAATGGATAAATATATGCACTTTTCTTTATTATTTTAGATATATGATAAGAATTACTATATTAAATTTAATGATAAGTTTTATGTGCAAAATGAAATTTTGAATTAGAAAAAGTCAATGCAATGTGGGATCAATTGTGTAATGCACAAAACTGTTGAAACACCATCTGAATGTGAGGATCGATGTCGCTGGTAAATAGTAGTGATTCCAGTGTACCGACATATTTAAATACTTGTTCGTGATGCTGAAAGAAAATTAAGGTTAGGTTGCATAACAATGATACAATTTTTCATCTGTTTAAAAACTTACATGGAAAAATACTTGTTGTAATCTTCCTATTGTCAACTGGAACCAGAAGTCATTACATTTTGTACCATCAGACTCACAACGAAGTATGTGCTCTGTCAAAATCATAATAAATCTTTGAAATATGATCAAAAAGAGATTCTTTTGGTCACTCTGTGCTGCTTCCAGCCTTTCTTCCATTCTTTCGATCATCTCGGCTGTGGGTTGATCTTTGCTGTTGTTACTTTTATCGTCCATATCCATCTCCTCTTCCTGGAGAAGATAAAGAATTTTATTTATCATTATTTTGCAAATTTAGATATTAAACTAAACTATTCTCATTTACCTTTTGTAATTTAATTCTAGCATCTTCTAATTCATTTTGTAATTTCTGAACATGTTTGATCATTTTCCTAATTGTCAAGTGTAAAATTTCCCAAACATACGAACTGGAAAATAGAAGCATGAGCAATATTTTAATAAATTTTTGTCATTACACTAATTATCATAAAAACTTTTATCTGGAACATTGTAAATAACAAACAAATTAATTTCACTATGTTATACTTACTTTGGAAATTCATTTTTCATTTCTTTAGAAAATATCCAATTAGCTACAGCAGAACATTCCACAATTTGGGTTTTTAAAAACTTATCAACTAAGACAGACATCATCTAAATCAACCGATAAATAAATAAAAATTCACTTTAATAAATTTTAATAATATTTAAACTATATATATAAAAAAATATAACCTGTCTGTGATTATGCCATAGTTCAAACATGCTTCTTAAAATACAAATCTGAGCTTCTTCAGACGTCGCTAATGTCTTGAATACATAATGAAATCTGAAACATTCATTTTGAGAAATTGCACATCAAGAAATATTATTATTATTATTGAAAAAAAACTTACTTTGCAATGGCAGCAAAAGAATGAGAAAATGATTTACTTGCTATATGTAGCAAAGTCTGGACAAATACATCTATTTTCAATGGATTGTGGGTTGGTTCCACTATTAAAAAAATCATTTTATGATGATATGATAAAAACTAAAACAAAATAAATAAACCATGCAAGAAAAGTACCATCATCTTCTTGTAACGGATTTGGTAAATCTTTAATGACAGTAAGAGCTTCTTCTGGAGTGCATTTTTCTTTGATTGCAGATGCTAACTGATGTGCAATAACAGTTCCTGGTAAAGAACCTGAAATATTTTCATAATTAATTTACAAAACAATCTTTAAAATAAAATATATTTTGTTATTTGATATCCATTTGGATAAATATTCAAAACTGCATTATGTACCAATGACCAACAATAGCAAATGCTGGTTTTAATGCTGATACAAGTCACTTCATATCTAAATTTCAGTCTTATCAACAAATTATTATTACTTTTTAAAATGAATTAATACAATTTTCCCAAATACGAAGTAAACATTTTAACAATTAAAATTTTGAATTTATAGAAAAATAGAATTTAGTTTTTAAATAACATATATAACAACCAAATTCAATTAGTATTGCCAAATAATCAGCCAAATTATTTATTGGGACTATATTAAGGCTAATTTAATTAATTAATTAATTAATTAATAATTAGATATAAAGCACTTTGGTAGGAGTAATCAGTTATGTCTCACATTAAATTTAATAATTAAAAATAAATAAATTTTTAATTTAAATATTTTGGAGTTGTAGATTTGAGTTCTGCCCAGAGTGCAACTTGAACCCACAACTCCCACTTATCATACAGATCCATTGCCAGTTATGCTACCCCTACCTTTATCAATCTTTGCTTTCAGAACGATTAATTATTTTAAATGAAACAATACTGGGTACTGTGCTTTTATCTAATTATTAAATTAGCCTTAACATAGCCCAATAATTAATCCAGCAGATCATTTGGCAATATTAGCTTTTAAAGCTAAAAACATTAAAATAATAAATTTTGTTTGCATTTAATTTGTACTTCTTGCACAAAATAAATGAGAAGTTTACATAAACAACTTGAAATTTTAAAGTATGATACAATATAGTTCTTTAAACATCTCTGTACATATCTTTAACCTCTTTTTTCCTCCATGAAATACTAAGTTTGTTAAAATCCCTGAGCACCATTTTAGGAACAGTGAAGAAATGGGATAAACATAATCATTTTGGACAAGTTAAAAATATCCAAGGTGAAGAAGACAGTTATGAGAAGAGAGGTTAAAGTTCATTGTGAGAAAGAAATAATTTCTTAATAAAATTAATGAAATTTATCATCTTATTTTTTATTATATTATTATGTATTTAAAAACTATTTTAAATTTTCAAAATTTGTTTTTAAATTAATGAAAAATAAATTCAAAATCAAATTACAATAGACTATTTATTGAAAATATGGATAATGTCATAAATTCTTTAATATCAGAATTAATGTGACTCAAAACATTTAAGTCAATAATAATAATAATTGTAATTAATAAATCATCAGATTATACATTATTAACTGTTTCAACAATGTAACAAATAAAATGTATTTAAATAACAACACTGAATAATAATAATAAACTAATATGAACCAAGTGGACTTGACTTAATTTTATCTAGTAATAAAAAATTAAACAATATAGTATTTAATTTTATTAATTAAGATACATAATATTTACTAGTATACAGGAGAACCTATGACTTTTTAAGTTAATTGTAGAAAGCAAAAAATTAGAGAGTAACTGTATTTTTTATATTTAGTCTGTGCTTAAAATATTTTATCATATATGATAAGTATACAATAATATTTACATTATATAACTTATCACTTTTATATACTTTTTCATTATTAAATTTATTTATTAATTATTTAATTAGCACAACAGAAGAATGCATATTATTCAATAATATAGAGTCACTTATTGCAAATACTTATTAATCACAAAAGATAGTTTTAATGTACAATACATACAAAAGTGGGTTGAATTTAAAGCTGACTTTTCCTATCAGCATTTGTATCACTAACAAATTTCAAATATATCAACATGAAGAATAGTTATTGATACTGTCCAAAAGTTGCATAGAAGTATGATGCTTTGTTTGACTGCTAGAGAGCATAGAGCAAATGTTGATTGCTGCTTGCTTACAACAAAATGGAAGCTGATTGTAACCAACAATACATAGTTTTTACCATTTGAAAAAAGCTCATAAAATGATGAAACACATGTATACTGAAACAGTTTTGACATGATTCCAGCATTTCATTGAATCAAGGCTTGGAATCAATCTTGGAAGAGACAGGGCTAAACACTACAAGTGTATTCACTCATTAACGGTATTGATATCATACAGACCATAAAGTTACCATTGATGAACTAGAAAATATGTTAAATGTTATGTATAAAATTCTGGACATTCCTGTATGAGTGTCCATAAAATTTTATATACAATATTTTGCAAATGAAATGCATTAGTCCTCAATGAACCCCCAACTTCTGATTCCTAAGCAGCAGCACATTTAAATGGAAATCTTCTAAAAGTTGCAATGCCAAGTAGCCAATCTGAGGGACATTTCTGTAATCAGTTGTCATTGGTAATGAAACCTGGCTGCATCATTTTAATCCTGAGGGCAAACAGACCAGCAGTGTGGAAATCATCTCCTCTCATTCCAAAGAAAACAAGAGTTGCTTCATCAGCTAGCAAGATAATGGTCATCATCATCTTTGATTATCAATGAATAGGGTATCAACATCGTGTGCTGTCACATACAACAGTCACTAGATAGTACTCAGGTATGCACATACTACTGTATAACATCTGCAGGAAATATAATAATTCCCATACCAATGGCTGACAGCTGCATTAGGATAATGCATGCTTGCATGTTCTAATGTGGTAACTAAGTATTTGGCAAAAAAAAAAAAAAAAAAAAAAAACCATCTGATGACTCCCAAATCCACCATAAAGGCTAGATTTAGTATCCTGCAACTTTTTTTATACTCTCAATACTGAACTTACAAGAAACCAATTTCTTATATACAACAGCAGTGGTCAAGCATCAAAGATGATTCTGAAGAATATCTAAAAGGATATACTAACAAGTAAGACATATCTTCCAAGACTAGTAGAAATGATGGCAGAAATGCACTTAATGAGGATGCTTTGAGAAACACTACAGTTGCTATGCCCCAGAATGATTATCATGTGAGTAAAAAAGAAAAAAAAATTTTTAATTTGTTTTAACTCACATTCAAATTGTCAGAAATAAAATGATAGAAAACAGAATTTTAAATAAAAAATAGCATTACTCAATAGGATGAAAAACACTAGATCTAGAATGATACAAAATTCCAAGAATAAGTCCTGTTAAGTGGGAACAATTCTAATATATTCCAGAAAAAAAAAACACATTTTTCAAAAATACTTCAAAAAAGTATCGAGTAAAATAAATTATTTACTTTGTAATAAATCTCAAAATCATGAATATATTTGTCTTTATTCTCTTACAGTCTTGGTCTATTATCAAATAACTGGAAAATGCTGAAGATTAAATTCAAAAACTTGGAATTAAAGGCCTTTAATGCAATTTTATACATCATATTGGTGAAACTTTTTTCAAGCAACATTCTGTCAAGAACACAAAAAAATCATAATCAAACGGTAAGATCTGGAAAATATAAATTGTTTGACTTCCTAGTTGAACTTAGTTTTTCCTGAATTTTCACTACAATAAAAAAAATTAATCCTATTTACAATTAAGGTAAATACACTTTAAGCATCCATCACTGCTAAAATAAAATTCATTACCTTGCCAAATTGTCTAATCAAACAGAATATGTTAGTCATGATGATCATGTTGTGACAAATGTCTTTTGAAATATCACAGAACACACAGCATTACCTAACATAGGTGTAATCTAGTTTTAGTGATACTGAAGATGGCTTTCCATATGGTCATCATTGATACTTTTGATACAATAATCAGAGGATTCATTATCAAGTAGTTTAAAAAGTTTGTTTTTCATGCACCTAAACAATGAAGTAAATATTGTCAATAATCCAATAAATTTTGACTAGATGCAAAAGTGATATCCATATATCACTTTGTCACAAAATGTATCCAATTTTGGTACATTTAATGTTACTTGAAAAAAAAACTGCTAAATGTATGTCTCATTTCAAATGAAATCTAAATTAGTTCATTGTAAACCTTTAGTAGACATATTGCTTGCAGTTTATCACTTATACCAGAATTGTCATAATAAAGTTGACATTTATGACAGATTTTGAAAGACAGACAATTTCTTCTCTACATAGTTCAATTTCTTTACAAGTGTTTATACTACCAGTAATCATTTTTTTTTTCAGAACTCATAACATTACATGTCTGAAATGCAATATTCTATTGTAGGCAGCTTTTAATAATACAGGTATCCCTCATATAGCACAGCATTTCTACAACAGTGTTTTGCTCTGACATGGTTTGAGAATTTAGGAAATCATCTATACAAAATTTCACAATTTTTAAGTGCAAACTCTGTTATTCAATATTTTCTATTCAAGTAAGCATACATCTTGTTTCAAATTTGTCCATGGATTTTAGAATATTAAAATTTTCAATTTTTTTTTTTTGTGCATTTCATCAGATTTACTTTAATGAAAACTGATAAAGCTAGGACAAGGAAGAAAGAATTGCATTAAGTGTTTAGCCTTTAACATTATAAAAATAAATATATGGTGACACATTTATCTTCATATTTACTGAAGTTTATTTAAACATTTTTAGATAAGTGTTAACTACTGTTAAAAAAGTTTAATAATTAATCATTTGTAAAAATGACAAAGGAAATACAGAAGTATCTTGATACTCAAACTGTTCCCAACTCAAACAATTTGGTATTTGAACAAAAGTCTGGAAAGAAATTGTTTGGTACTCAAATGAACAAATACAACCTGCTAGAAAAACTTTTTGATTTTTTAAAATTTTTATCATAAAAAATGTTATTAAAATGAAGACATTGCTGATATTTCTGATCAAGATTGACAAAACAGCTTAGATGATGATACTTTGTAAAAAAAATGCTCTCATTTAACTAAAAATAATATTACAGTGTAATAAAAGTACTTTTAACTGTGATTGTTAGTTATTGATTGTTAATAAACTATTTATTGCTTTAACAAACATATTTCTCTCAGGAACAAAAAAGAATAGTATGCTTATGTTAACTCTCGCAACCTAACCCCTTGTTTTGCACTAGTCCTTTGTTTCATATAGCACAAATTCACATAACATTGCACTTTTTTGGAATGTAAATACCATATTATACAAGGGATACTGTACATACATTTTGATTTATTCACTCAAAAATTGCTTTACTGTACAAATAATACTTATGACTGTTATATCAACATAATTACATCAAATATACAAATCAATATAATTTTCTTGCATAACTCAATTCTTAATTTTATGACAGCATAATTAAAAAATGATTATATGTATTTCTATGCAAATGTACTGTACATTCTGGGCTGGAAACTAATAAAATTTTGAAAAACAGATCACATTTAATGAAAACTAATATGCAGATTTATAAATTGTATTACATAAACTAATCTAATATTAAAAAAGGAAACTGTATCCAATATGCTAATAATGCAATAACAACAATGATATGATACATTAAGTTTTATGTCAATATTTTACATTTCCCAATTAGTGAATATAGTATGTATTTAATTATATAAAAAAAGATCACTATATCACAAATAAATCTTTAGGTAAAATGTAATTCTATAAATAATTTAATAACTTTAAAATATACATAATTTACTATAAGAATAAAAATTTATATGTATAGGTAAACAATATTAATAATTTTATATCTGAAGTATCTAAATAAATTTTAATAGATTTACTTTTAATACATCTCCAAATCCACCACTTCCCAACCATTGTAATATATCAAATTCTTTTAGTAATCTAGAATTTTCTGGGATGTGTCTTGCAAGCTGATGAATTGTCTGATCTGAACTGCCATCTGAAAGTTTTTGTAAGACTTTAAAAACATGAATATTTATTCCAATACAACTGCTTAAATTTTATAAAATGCAGTTTTTATANTGGAGGTCGAAAGTACTCGTGGAACTGAATAGTGAAAATAACCCTCGTAAAAAAAGGTTGTTTCGTGGATCGTTATATAGAAATTATTTGAAATCTCCTTACCTGTCTATACAATCAGTATTCATGGTATCTAGCCTTTCATATAATATTTCAACAGCTTGTGCCAACTGAATGTAGTTAAGGAATATAATAATTTTTTGTTAAATATTGATTATCATAAGTCAGTGAACTGAGAGAATAAAGGATACAACTTGTGGCATTGTGCTAGGCTGTAATTTACATAATTCTAATAAAAGAGAACCCATGCATACTTCTAAATATGGAGAAACAGGCAATTTGAATAGATTGGAAAATATTACCTATGAAAAATTTAATGAATTATTTTTCAAATTATTAAAATTTCAAATTAGTCATTAAAAAGGTAATACATAAAATTTTAGTCTTACTTCAACAATCATATATTCCAAAGGAATTTTATGTTTTCCAGGAAAGCTCGCGTCGTTTCGTACACTGTGCTAGAATATTGTCACATTTACACATAAAAGGGGTAAATTTCATTTTTATATTATTATTAAAAGATATAATTTTAATCATTGGTTCGACTAGATTTATTAGTATTGAAAATAAGTTATGTTAAAAAGCATAACATATACTGTAAAAAAATTACACTAAACAAACACAACAGACAAACTGTAACATAATAGGTTTNATGTTTTCCAGGAAAGCTCAGCAACTGGGCAGCACTTGAAAAATATATTGTCACATATTACCATAAAAACAAATAATTTCATTTTTATATTATTATTTTTTGTTTAAAAAAATAAAGGTATGAATTTTAAATGTTTTACAATATGTATTTAATAAATTTGCATTATATATTTAAGTAATGTGTTTGTTAAAAGTATTTTTTTATGTTATAAAGTACAGTGGGTGATCGGTTAACGAACAGATCGGACAATGAACACTTTTGCGAAAGATTTTTACGTTCAGACAACGAACACATGATCGGATAACGAACACCCCACAGAACAAACAAGAAGAAGCGACATAAAATAACGAATACCGATTGGACTTTCCTTGTCTTCGGGCAACAATTCGAAACTTATCGGAGTGTGGGAGACGTCGAAATCTACGCTCAAGCCGGTATATACCGATCGGATAGTATTCCTCCGAACTTTAAAACTCTTCCTTATAATTCCAGCCTTTTATTTTTATGAGAAAATAATTCTTTTATGTATTCGTGAGACTGTTGGGTAAGCACTCGTTAAGTTTTGCGTCTGTTTTTTTATGTAAGGTGAGAATATAATAGCAAAGGTAAAGAGTTGGCAGAAGATGCCTAATGTTGCTGGGCAGTATGGCATTATAAGTCTAAAGTAGGCTGCAGTTCATTTTTTTAAGAAAAATACTGTATAATCAAGAAGACTCAAGCAGCTAAACGAGTAACAAAAATCACATCTGAGAAATATAGAACATCGAAGAGTTTATAATGGAACCTGAAACAGATCTGACGACAGAAGAATGCCATGAACTCTTGAATGAAGAACACCAAGAAACTCGGCGAGATATGTTTTCTTCTGAAAAAGAGGATTAATGCTGATATCTGTTATTAAAGATCCTTTGAAGAAGTGTGAGGATGTCAGAACAACGGTCTTAGAATGGCATCCAAACCAGGTTGAGGCTTAAGGATTTCTACAATTGCAATGCTATTAATTACTTACGAAAAATCCTGAAGAAGAGAGAAAAGCAATCGACATTAGACAGATTCTTTAACCCTTTCAAACTGAAAAAACATGACT